AACTGAGTCAGAAAAAGAACCTGCATCTCCGGGTGTTCAGTGTAATTTCTTCTGCACAGAAAGGCACTGCCAGAGAGGCGCAAGGCTCTGTCACAGGGTGCGTCCCAAGGACTCTGTTCAATTTGACAGGATGCTTAGTGAAAACCTAAGAAAACTCTCACTGTCTACTAAATTCTATAGGGTTTTGCTTAAGGAAAATTAAAGACATCTTTTTCCCAAGCTGTCTCATATACACGCATGACTATAAAACAAGCAACGCAAGCTTGCTTGCTCTTTGAAAGGCAGCAGCTGTGTTGTTCCAAAAATCCCTCCTGAATGTAAACATATTAGCACTGTATAAACAGCTTGATTTAATAAGAAATGCAATACAATATTCCCGCTTTGTCTTTAGGATCACGATGTTGATGGTGGCAATAATTCAAGGTGAATTATGGTATCTGCTTAAAAGAAAGAAAAAGAAAACTCTCCAGCTATAGCCATGAATTAATTTCTTCCTCTTAGCTGAAAATGAGAAATGGCTATAATTTAGTTCCCATTTAAAAGTTGCTGTTGGCTAAACTCTAAAATCTTAATTGCTTCTTAATATTCTCTGCTTATTTTTTCCCTTTGAAACCATAGTCTATAGGACTGTAGTGTTTAGATTAAAAATCAGAATGGAAAACAAACAGTGGAAGGTCACCACTCCTTCCTAAAATATGTTTTTTCCCTCCAAAATGACAGAACTTATTGCGTATGAAAGTATTTCAGTTGATTTCCCAGCTCTAGTCACCCTCCTGCACCTCTGTGAAAAAGAAAGTGACACTGACCCTGGGTTTACCCCTAAGTGTCAATACTCAGGACTTGTTCAATTTGCAACAGAATGTAGTGGAAGTTCTAGAAAAGACATGTTTCAAGCCATATTACGGCTCAGCATACTATAGGAACTCGCCTTGTTGCAAAAAAACCTGAAGTCACACTCAATCCTTAAATAGTTTGGAGGTCACTACCCAACACACTCTGCAGTTCTCGGAGCTCGCAGAAAAGGCTGTGAGAGTAACAGTGGCAAAGACTTAAGACAACCCAAGTCAAATTTTAAACTGACCTTGAAGAACTGCAGAAAGATCTCATGATAGTGAGTCTGGGTATAAAATCACAGATGAAAAACAAATGCCCAGAAATGCAAAAATAATGTGCTTGGGAAACTGTACCTCTCAATGCCCACATTTTAACAGGCTCTAGACAAGCTAGCAGTGCTCCAGTAAAGATCCTAAAATCCCAGTGAACAGTTCTCAAGAATACTCAGTGGTTGTCCTTACAGCACACAATTTCAGGAATCAGTATGTAAGGAAAGAAAGCAGAAAAAATACCATTGTGCCACTGCAGAAGCGAATGGTGAATCCATATGGTGAGTAAAACAAGGATCTGGTCTCCTCATCTTTTCTGTCTGCTAAGACTCAAATTCTCAACTAGATGCTAAAAGAAATCAGTTTCAAGCCCTAGAGGTCCTGGGAGCAACAGTCCCCTTCATCATACCCATGACAGCTCCAGGATCAGCCAGGCCAGCTTTTCCTCAAGAGGAATCAAAGATGCACAGAAGCAAAGTGAAAGTACAGCCACCCTTGTCCCTCCCGCCCAGGAAGCCCAACTGCCACCTGGCCCCCTCGGATGTCAAGGCTCCTGGTCACCCTGTGATTGAGCTCTCCTCATTTTTCTGGGATAAAAGGCAGCGCAATTTTTGCAGCTTCATTATGCTGACCTAGTTTATTTTCCACTCTACCAACTTAAAAATCACACATCCCTCTTTGCGCAGCAGTGCCATTAAAAGTACTGAATTCAGGAAAACTTTAGTAGAAAAGTAATTCAGAGCTGCTGCTTGCCTGCAAGTTCCCATCCCTTTTCATTACTGAGATGGCCACCATGTGAAAAAGATGGAAGTGACCCTTTCTCTTAAACATCAGTCATATTCTTTCACCATTTGTCCAAGATCCATGTGGAAAAGGGACTGAGAACAGCAAATTACCTCTGCAAATAAGGGAGTCTCGTTCAGAAACGGCACAGATCATTTCCAAATATATTCAATTACAAGGAGTCTCTAATGAACCCAACATGGAAGCTCAGCAGATAAAAAAAGGAAAAGCTTCATCAAACAATGACTGTTTCCTATCACTCTCCTGTTCAAATAAAGGGAACAGAAAATGAAGCTTCCTTATAGCAAGTCATCTTCACAAAACTTATTTCTTTGATGTATTATGGAATGAGCTACGAAGAGTCCAAACAGAGATAAATGCCTTGCCAGACCTTCACAAGAAACTTCCCTAACTCCTTATTTTGGTCCCTGGATAATAGGGCACTGATGCGAGGGAAACAAGCAGAAGGCTTCTCTCTGCTTCATTGTTCTGCTTATGTCACCTCTGGTCTCAAATCATCTAATTCCACAAATGCTCAGAAATGCGAAAGTGAAAATATCATTTGTTTTACCCTCAAAATGTATTGCCAAAGGGTAACTATGTCTCTTCTGCTTTTTCTAGTTCTCTGGGTTTTGTTTTGTAATGCTTTTTCTCACACCAAAACAAAGAACTGCTGTGCAAGAAAAGACCCTGTGGTCCAGCACGCCTGTCCCCTTGAGGGTTATCCTTTCATCAAGTGTTTCTCTGCTGTGCACTTCAATACTATGTTTCCCTTACTGAAATATCTGTCTCAAACTCGTTTTCATGCCATTTGCTTTGATGGTGTTATTTAGCAAATTATTCCATATGTTGTCCATTGCATTTTAAGCTAAGTATTTCTTCCTGAAAATCTGAATCACTGTTCCTTTCAAACTTCTAAATTAGACTCTGCAGTGTTTGAGAATCTCTTTTTTCCTTACTTTAAAACACTGACAGAGATAAACATTTTATTTTTTCCTAAAGAAAGGCAATCACACTGCAAAGGGCACATGAAATGCTGTGTTGCCGCTCCAGTGACATGGTTTGCACAATGTTGCTGTGGACAATCTGCGTTCTAGTTGCTTGCTGATTTATCCTAAAACACATCTTTACTTTTTTAATACACTCCCTGCATTTGTTAAAAATCCTCAGAAGTAAGAAGATAGATACACTTTATTTTGAAGCTAGTACACATGTGCTCTCAAGTTTGGTTATTGTTTCTCAATTTATAGCTTTGTATTTATCAAAAACCTTTGACAGCTACATGACATAATTTCCATTCTATATTAATTTTTAATCTCCCCTTTTTTAGTATCAATTTTTGGCAAAAAACCTGATCTACTGATCTCAAGGGTATTAATTAGAAACTCATAGTTTTACCAAACCCACTGATGAATGTTAACTGTTGATGCATGCTACGGAGAGCAGATAAGAAACAATTATTGTCCATACACAAAAATAACAAACTTAACTGGAAAAGAAATTTGGTTTCAGCTAAAGTCTTTGTTGACTTATCTTCCTTGATTTATCTGTGTGTTGGCTATTATGAAGCAAATAAAAATGTTATGAGGTGGATGGTTAGGAATTTTGAAGATATATTTAACTTTAATTAATATACCTTAATTTTACAAGAGTAAAATATTTCTACAACAGAAACTAATATTTATCCAAAGTTAGTCTCCAAGCCAGTTAGTCACTAAGCCAGTACTTCCCAACTTTAATATCTTCTCAAGGATGGTACTGTTACTCTTTGAGCACGTTAAACACTAATTTTGCAATTATTTCTCTTGATCCATTGGTGAAATTGCAAAGAAATGGAAATATTTTGCAAACAGTGAGAGGTACCAATATTCCTCTAGATAATAGCTCTTAGCATTGCATTTCAAAATGTTTTCTCTGCAGAAAAGCATTTTGTATCCACATGAGCCAAATATTACAAACCCCTCATTACAGTGCTTCAGCATATCCCATATCCTTCCAGGGCTTGACTGGTGCGAATGTGACCAAGTTTAGTCTTTCAAATGAAGAAAATACATATTGAAACACAGGACACTACAACGGGATCTTCAGAACCTTTTAATTTCAGCCTGTGTGCACATATCACTGCAATTTCATTCAGTGTCTTACTGCAAGGATGTTAATTATTTGCAAATAGTAATAGAAATGATTTTCATAAGGCTATTGTCATCTATTTATTAATTATTTCAAATGTTCTCAGCCTCAATAATTTGGCCAATTAATTGTCAGTGAAATGGGTACACTGAAAAATGGCTTGGTACTTTTTTAATTGATTCTGCAAATATAATGATCAATGGGTTGGTATTTCTCATCAAAGCTACTTTCCTGTGTCCCATCTAATAAAATAATTCCTAAATAGCTTGTATGTGACTAATCCCTGGTTAATTTTAGCTTCCAGACAAATGAGGTGTCTTTGGGTTCTGGTTCTGACTTTAGCAGGTGCTGCAGGTTTTAATTTACCCTAAATCAAATGGAGACGGATTTGTTGATGCTAATCCTAGTCTCCACCACTGAAGCAATGTCCACTGGTGTGAGGCAATCTTGACTCTCAAGACCTTGCAGGCTACACTTCTGAACACCTCACCAGTGCTAAAGAACTCTGACTGAGAGCAACCCTACGGAATGTGGAACAAGCTAAGTCCCCCTACTGGAAGTACAGTCAAAGGAAGGAAAGAATTGCTTAAGATTACACAGGAGGTTTGTGGTAAAGACACCCATGGAACCAAGGCCAGTCTCACTGGGCTTTTCTGCCACAACAACTTTTCCTGAAGGCCAAGAAAAAGATAACTTTTTATAGCTACTTTGGAGGGACTAATTGTGAAAATATTGGTCATCATTGCTGTTGGCTCTACCATTACTAGAGCCCTACCAGGCCCATTTTCATCACACAAAAATCAATATTTAAGGCAGCTGAACAGTTAGTCAACAAAGCTGTTCTAGCAGAACTCCAGAGAGTTATCTAATGCATCTATCACCATAACTTCTAATAAAATAAAAAACACAGGGCCACATTAAAAACAGCACCTGAAATGTGTTTTAAATCATAATCAGTTTCCAGTGATAAGGAAACAGGCTCACCTCCAGTAGACAAGCACAGCGATGAGGAGAATGAGGCACACGAAGGTCAGTGCTGAGACCACAATGAGTGGGATGATCCATTCCATCTTACCGGGAGAAGGTCTCGTGGCCATGCTGGAGCTGTTCTTGCCAGCTGTGTGTTAAACAAATAACAAAACCAGTTACTGGATGGAAAAAAGAATTACTGTATGGAAAACCGTGTAAACAAAACAAATAGCTTATCCATTTTACATGGTATGAGTAAACAGAGCAGAGATCCTCTAACTGCAGGGTGGGACTCCATTTGTCTTCAGTCTGAGACATGAGAGCACAGAAGTATGGTGTTTATTGCCACATATGGCTTGGATTTTACTACTGCCTGTAATTACGGTCTCATAGACACTTCTAGGACTCTTTTGTGCAAGCACCTATTATCAGATGTGGAGTACCCCACTGAGCCATTTCACCACGGTAAGTAAGTAAACGCTGTGCTCCGTCATCAGTGTTTGCAGATAAATGCACTCTGTTTCTCAATACTACAGGACAGCCCTGTTTGCAAAGCTCAGTGTAATACTTTGCTTCAGAAATAAATTTCTTGGTAACTATCTTAAAATAAAAAATCCTCAACATGTTGGGTGTCATGTCACATCATTTGCAGAATTGTCACAATCTGGTGGGTTACTGCATACGAAAGCACTTTTTAGCATATGGATTGTCAAGATGGGTGGATGAATGAATGAATAGGATGTGTTGTAACCGACAGAAGAAATCATTATGCCACAGCTTTTGAACGAAATTAAAGTTCGTCAATATCCTGAGATCTGGCCGAGTAACTCTGCTTCACTTTTTGCATGACATCTCATTAAAATGATTGTATCATATAGAAGATGAATATCTAGAGTTTCTGCAAGTGGAGCCAATGAGCATAGACACTGTACCAATGTATTTCAAAAGACACCTAATTTGTGCAAATTCGTGTAGACTTGAAGAATAAACTGTTTTAGACAGAATGATAGAAGAAAAATACAGCAGCGGATTCTCTATCTTATTCATGTTTCCTAACAAACAGGCAGTATCTGATCAATACCTGCCAACAGGACATAATGGAAAAGGATTAGTATAAACAGCTTCAGATTTTGAGGATTGAAACATGCACACTTGACTTCTACTTTTAGCCCATGTGAGTCTTTCCTTACCAACACGATTCCTTGCCCTTGTTCAGTATTGCATTATCATATCTTCTGAAACTGCTGCAAATCCTACCAGAAGAACCTAATTGCCTTTTCACCATAGGCAGGCAAAACACAGATAATTGGAAGTCACCAGATGTCACATAATATGAAGTCATACTCTATTTTAATAGCATTTAGATTATACTCCTCGGTAGGCAGGAGTAAAATTCAACTAACGTGGAAGTAAAGGTTAATTGTAAATGCTTTTGCCTGACTGCTGAAAACAGACCAAGGCTGCAGGCTGCTGCAAGCCCAGCAAGAAATCTTTCTAGTTTTAGGAACTAGGCTGATAGAGGTAATGCCCTTTAGCAAGCAGCCTAAATGAGGTGCTAATAAGAGGGGTGTTTAGGGGAACTGAATGTGCACTTTGATTGAACATCTCTGATTTCCTTGACTAAGAAGAGTAAGGAAAAAAAAACCAACCCCAAAATTAAAGCTTATTCTCTGTATTTGCCAAACTTACAGAATCATAAGTCTTGAGGCATCAGTTTTTACCAGTGCATTTCAAATCATTTATCAGCATGGGAAAAGTAAGCCTGTGAAATAAGTCTAATCAGAATGGTAAAAGGGACAAAGCAAAAAAAAACCACGTGATGGAATAAAACTTCATAGGAGAGCCAAGTAGTCCCACCACCTTACATCCATTAGGGTGTTGCTTCAGTTCTCTCCAAGGACAGTACTCTGTTTAGTTTCACCTCCACATCTTTCAACACAAAAACATATGTTTCTGTTTGCATGGGAAGAAAATTAAATTCCATTGTAAGCACAGCATGGGCTGGAGTCCCAGTGCACACTATTAAATTCTGCAGTGCTCACGATGCTCCTCTTACTCAGTCTGTTGGGGAGAACACACTTATCTGCCCCTGCCAACTCCCACTACCACAGATGTGAGGATAAGAAAGTGCTCAATATGCTGAGTGCCAGAATAGCAAATGCCATTCCTGCACGCTGATGGCTGGCCATGAAATTCAAGTTGGGAATGCCCAAGCAATGATGTGCTTCAGAAAAAAAGACACAGCTCCTGTGCTGGCTTTGAAGAAAAAGTCTTAGGTGTTTTCCACTGCTTAAATAAGAGAGAGCTTAAACAAACAGCATATCCTTGTAATGGTGCCCACCACAAGCTGTACTTGGTGGTGGCAAGCTTAAAAAATGGACTAGGAAACTCCATTTTTGCTAAGAAATGTAAACAGTTTCCAGTGGCATATGCCTTCGTTGAATTAATTCAGTTTGCCTTTTACTGGCTTGGAATTCATCCCAGTAGGAAGGAATAAAAATTATTACAGCATATCTGTTTCAGGAGGTCCCACATGATACAAGCCCTGGCACTGCTAAATCTACTCCCGCGTCTGGAAAAATCCGTAACGTTTGTGAACCACCCATTCAGCACTTCCACCCAGGCACTGGATGGATGAGCCCTGGCACAGGGAGTACTGGATGATGTCAGGCAGCAAGGGAAGCTCTGGCAGTGCAACTCTTGCACAAAGGTCAAGGTAAGACAGAGGCTTCTACCGCTTGTGAAATGTACTTTTTTCCTGCGGATTCTTGGTAATTGGTTCCTGAGAAAAGAAACATGTTTATTTCCCTTAAGTAACACTGCTTGCTATAATAAGCAACCATAGCTGTACTATATAACCTATCTACTTTTATCATTCCTCATCATTGCACAAACTGCCAGGACAAAGTTCTGTTTGTTGTACCATTACAGATACCATTAACCAAAGAAAAGCCCTGCTGCTGAACTGCCTCAGACCACACGGCCTCTTAAAAGACAGTCAACTTGCTCATCTTTCCTTTGAATAAATGAAGTTATGGACTTATACAAAGGTATTAAATAATTCTGAAAAATAGTATTTGCCACATTATTAAAAGATGAAAGGGCAAAACCATGTTTTTTTAAAAATATATTACATTTGATACAAGCTCATGTCATTGTGCAGCTATTTTTTTCCTATTTCTTTAAATGCATTCCTGCAATGCTCACAATTACAGGCTGTGCACAGCTAAACATGGCTTTTCACTGCTGTGTAAACAGATGCCAATCATATTTACTCTTATATCTGAAATTCATAATTTGCAGACATGAAATAACTCAATTATTTTATTTTCAAGCCATTCTGCTGTTTCCTCCTGTAAACTGCAATGTGAATCTCTGAAGATATTTAAAAGCTGTCTGGGCACAATCCTGAGTAACGTGCTCCCTTCTTGAGCAGTGAGGCTGGACTAGCTGACTTCAGTGGTCCCTCCCAACCTTATCCATTCTGTGATCCTGTGTGAAAATGGCTCAAGTGCTACACGAAAACACAGCTTAATAATCCTCTCTGCGTATGGGGAAGAAAGAATTACACAGATGTTTAATTATCTTAATGAGGTTATTCCCAAAAGGCGTTTGTAACCTCAGACCTGGCAAAGACTGCTCTAAAACCCAATTCAGTCTCTGTTAAAGGCATACACCAGGCTTGAAATTTAACCCTGCACATCATCTCTGCCTCTACAAAGCCCCCTCATGGGAGGAACTCAGAAGAAGTGGGTGAGCACTGAGGGATGGAGGACCTGGCTGAAATTTGGATGAAGAGCCAAACTCATGCTTCTGTTCTGAGTCCCAGCTCACCACTCAGGCAAAAGTCCCAACTGGACAGCTGTTCCTTTGCCCACAACAGCCTAGTCGTTATCTTCTGTCAAAAACAAAGGATCTGTTTAACTGTCTGGCACAATCAACCAAAATTCTGTGGGGTTGTATCTTCTCTAGCCTGGTGAAACTGAATCATCCATGTTTTCATTTTTTTCCCTTGCTTTTTTAATTATTTTCTTTTCTCTCCCCCTCTGCCCGTAGAATATCATTCTAATTGCTGTTTTTCTAATTTTCAGGTTTCAGAGTCACGGACAATGCTGAGCAGCTGTGTGTGTAACAGTTGCAGATCAAAGGTACAATTAGTCTAATGTGGGCACCAAAACAGAGTAAAAGGATGATCAGGAAAATGAAAGAGGAGAATGCAAGCAAGCATTCGGTGACAGAAGAAAATCATCAGCCTTGGCTGGTACCACCAGACAAGAAGAGGCCAATGCCATTTGGAAAATAATGACATGGCCTCAGGAGAGGTGTGTGTATGTGCGTGTGAAATAAGCACTAAAAGAAAATGAGCCTTGCTGTACTAATTGGCCTTGCACTTTCCCTGTAATTTCTCATGAGTTCCCTGTTCTCCTCTAATCATCCACACTCATGAGTACTTCCCCATTCAGTTATCTCCTTACAACTGCTAATTTGATGCTATATAATTAATTTTACAAGTGTACATTGTTATGAAACAATTTTCTGCTCTTTAAAATGATTAAACTTCCTACTCACAAAAACAGTTTTGAAACCTTGACAGCTTTTTAAAACCTGCTTTCTGGGAGAAAAAAATGCACCCAAAAATGTTTCTGCCCTAACAATGAGACACAGTAAACTGCAAGGGTGCTTTTTGCTCACTTTGGACATGGTCTCAACACTCTTAACTGTCCTGATGCTCAAAAACCCTTTCAGACACTTCTGGCAATGCCTTTTTGGCTTCACTTGTCTTGATTTCAGGTTTACCTTGTTATGGAAAACCTTTAAGGCCATTTCTCATAGACAAGGTCTTGCTATGGCTGCAGTTTCACTGCACTCAATTGGCATGAGGGAGGTCAGGTCTGTCTGTATGAACTGAAATTTTCCATACTACTCTGGAAAACAATTAAGCTGAATCAACTAGTCTTAGGCTTTGTGCTAGCCTAATTCACCAGCCCGTGTCTTTGGTAACCTAGATCGAGCCTGGAAGAAAGCTCTTTCTCCCGCATTCCCAAGTGTCTTCTCACAGGGGCAGCACTCCCAACAGGCCAGGCAGGCCTTATTTGGACACATTTAGTAAAATATTTGGGCAAATTCCAGGCTAGTTAGATCTCATCTATCAAAGCCTGGTGGCTCAAGATAAAAAGAGAAGAAGGACTTGTCTGAAGAGACTTTGAAGGACAAGGTTCTCACACATGGTACAAAGAGATTCAGACTGAGAGACTCCATTCCAAAGCCAGTAAGAAACACCTCAAAATGTTCTCACTAAAAATTAGCCTTTTCCAAAGTCTGGACAGGGACTCACCAGGTTTATGACCAACCTAAATTTTTCCACCTGGAGGTCATGAATAGGGAATGAGCTCCTACTTCAAGAAACTGGTACAAATGGGTCCTTCTTCATCTCTGAATAGTCATTCCCAGCCCTTTTGCTGTTGAGTGTCCTTTTCAGAACACTGAGGGATGTGGGAGAGGCTTGTCTGAGAAGCTGAAAAAATGGCGCAGTTCCTTCTCCTCATCTTGGGCAGGTCACCAGAGGTTTAACTATGATTTAACTAAGGTTAATTTGCAATAAACAGGCAACTCTCACTTATCTTTTTCCCCATCTAACATGTGCTGATTGTTTCAGATATAGTTTCCTACACATGCAAGCCACTTTTTTAAGACGCAGTGATCATAATAAGTTATCCTTCCTCCATATATAGGTACAGAAAACCTAATTTGCAGGGTACTTTTAAAACTGATTGTCTTTGTTGTAGTCTTCAGGCACAGGTGAGTTCAAGCCATCAAGCCTGGAAGTGAGCAGAGCTCTAAAAGAGGCTGTCTAGTAGGAGGCAAAGCTGTACTGGACCACTTTCAACAATAGTTCTCTGCATGCTAAAAAGAGACAGACTAAGGGGATACAATTCACAATAACTAGTATTTCTTAGCAATATTAAAAATATTTCCCCATCTCATTGATTTTAGTATTTTTATCTTATCTTCACTATGGAATTATTAGCAATCTCTTTGTCACAAGCTAAGAATTAAGGCCAACTACTCATCTTTTTTCCAATTTTTTAGGTTGAGAACAAGCCATGAGATCCTTTCTAGGTCTTATATAAGAGACATTGTACTTGGGCCATACAAGAAACTGGCACATGAGAAATAGGGAAGCCAAATGCAGGAAGAACTATTTCAGAAGCAGGTTTATCCATGCAGATTGAATTGTTGGGCTTTGAACCTAACTGGTGCTGAATGCTTACTCCTAATATTGAAAAGTTCCCTCTTTCCTGACAGAAAGGTGATTCGGGCAAGTGGCACATTGAAAGCTTCCTGACAGGCATCTCAGACCACGTTCAGTGGGAGCACTGAATTTTGAAGATTTCCAGTTGAGAAGTAAGAAAAAGAGCATTGTTTAAAAAAAAAAATCAGCACAATTTGGGTGCAAGTTTCTTGTCTTCTGTATTGTTAATCTGATCTCTAACAGAACAGTTATGATTCACAGCGTTAGAGTCAGGTCAGCATTTCTGTAACAAATGTTATTAAAGATTGGATTAAGCTTTGTTTTTTAAATTGGTTCCGAGCTATAACTGAGTGCACAATGTCTGCATTTTTGTGTTTATCAGTGTAGGAAAAAATAAATATGCAAGGTTTTTTCACAGTACTCTAGAGCAGCTTTGATGGAAAAAAGAAAATTACAAAACACTCCAAGATTACCAAACTAAACAATAACAGTAAAAAAACCCACCCCGAACAAAAAAAGTGCACTATCTCATAAATGCTGTGGTAATACACATAATCACTCATATAAACTTGTCACCATATCTAAATCCCAGTATTTACTCTGCAAATAAATCCACACATGTGTACTCCATTTGCTCCTCACAGTTTTCCTCACCAGCGCTTGGAGCTCTCTGAACAGAAACACATGTGGACATTCCACGCATTGGTAGCACCATGAGATACCTGTTTGCATAGGCCTGTGCAGCAAACCCAGACCACACCGGGCTTGTTGCACATGCAGATCACCCAGGCAGGCTTCCAAAAGGTTGTATTTGCTGAGTACTGTGGAGTTGGTACACACACCCAGAGCTGATGTGCACAAGAGCACTGGCAATTCTCATCAGGACAAACAGACAATATGAGAACACTGCCTGACTAAGATTTTTCCTTCCCACAGGAAAAAAAAATAAAAGAACTCCAGTGCAGAAGGTGCCTTGTTTTGGAAGATCAGAGCATATAGGTTTTGTGGTGAGAAATAAAGCAGCAATGTTCCCATATTTGGGAGAATATCTCAAAGCCCAATCAGGGAGAATCCTGCAGATAAAATAAATTAGTTTGCAGCATATATAGCAAACTTCCTATGAAACACCAGTTTGGCACAGCAGCCGCTCTTCCAAATTAATTTCACAGCTATGGTTCACTGCATTCCTCTCTCTTTTTCTTTTAAACAAAATTCTTGACGCAGCACATTGGGGGTTAACATTTTTGCAAATTTTCTCTTGTAGTAAGTAAAAAGGACCGTGAATCTGTCCAAATAAAAGAAAATTATGTTCATTTCCCCTCTGCTACCCACCAGTAACAATCTGTGGATTGGGTCCTCTAACAATCTACCCATTGGATGAAGTCAGGCACCACAAAAATGTTTTACCTCCTGGAAATCAGTAAGGAATTTGGATTGTGTCATTTTCCAACACTCTTACGCTGGTAAGACCAGTTCTCCCTGGAAGTCACTCACCTGGATTAATGGTGATGAATTTGTTATCTGAGGGGTATTCCTCTGGAAACCTGTCCTCCTTTGGAGGAGGTTTTCTTGTAGTCTCTGGTCTTCTTGGGATCTTGCCCAGGTACAGTTCATCGGTGAACGCTGGTGGCACTTGGGTGGAAGGGAGCGGCTGGGGCTGAGTGTCGGCTTCATCCAAGCTCTCCTCCTCGGGACCTCCAGCCGCGGGGGCAACGTTTTGGTTTGGCTCTTCACCCGATATGGTTTTATTTCCTTCTTCCTCGGCAGTCCGGTTGGGGGAGGCCACGGCCACGCCGGGCTCTGTGCTATTGCGCGCCTCCCCGGCTGCCGTCGCCCTGTTTCTCTCCTTCTTCTCAGCATCCTTCTCTTCCTCTTCCTCGTGCTCCCGCTCCCCGTCCTCACTTTCACTCTTTTCATCCTTCTCCCCCTGCTCAGCTCCCTCGCCATCCTTGGTCAGTGCCGAGTCCCGCTCTGGCCCCGGGGAGGCGGCAGCGGCCTCGGTTGTGGCCACCACGGGCCGTCCTGCCTGTTTGCTGGGGGCGGCCGCCGTGGGCAGCCGGGTGGGCCAGACGCTGCTGGGGAAGGAGGAGATGCCACCACCGCTGAAGCCCAGCCCTGCCAGCAAGGTGCTGGTCACCACTGAGGCCACGGTGGCCTGGCTGCCACTGGAGGAAGGCCCCATCCCTGTGGCCATGGACACGAAGGAGAAAGGGAGCCCCGAGGAGGTCCAGGTGGAGGAGCCGGAGCTGATGGGAGCCATGTCGGCTGAGGAGGCAGGAGATGCCGTGGGCTTGAGAAGATCACCGGCAGCAGAAGGGAAGAAAACACAGCAGAGATCATCAGCAGGGCCCAACATGCTACCTGGGGTCGTTTTTCTTTTGCTTTTCCCTCCCTTTCCACACATGTGCCATTCTGGTTGCTGTTCTCTTAAAGCCAGACTCCCACCAGCTGGATGCAGGGCTGAGCCAGGACAGGACAAGCCACAGAGCTACCAGCAAGCCACAAAGGGAAGAAACCTCCCTGAATTCACCCCACCATCATCTAAACCCTCTTTATCCTTATCTTTATTTTACATCGGGACCTTCTCCACCCACGTCACCGCTGACTTGTGAGTAACGTTTCCTCTCAGGGGTGAGGAGAATGTAAAGGAGTTTAATGAGTTTAGCTGCATTACTCACAGTGCTTTAATCCTCAGAATACAGAAGTTTAAAAATACAGTGTTACATAAGGACTGTCTCAAAATAATGGCTGTGCTGCCAACGCGAGCATCCGTGGCTGGTGGGTCTGTTCTGACAAGGAACCCTGGCTCTTCCCACACACATTGTGAGGCCCTCAAATGGTACTATTTTTATTTCATTAATTTACCCATCAGCATTATTCCTCTAAGGACTGGTGCTGCAGGGAGATATCACTCTCATTAGAAAAGACCGGCAGCACGGCCAGCTGGGCAGTCATGAAACACTTGGAGAGCATCAGGAGCCCTTCAGCAAGCCACCACTACCTCTGCCAGGACCACCAGGCTGCAGCACTCATGTACAGACTCGGTTTTCTACAACCACAATCCTCCCTGGCCACCACCAGTGACCCAAAGCTAGGCCTGCCACTGTCCACTTCTCCCAGGGAGCTTAGAGGAAGCAGGGAATGAGCTATGGACTTTGCATCCTCTGCATCCTGCCACTGTTATTCGAATGTCAACCCACTGCACACATGCTTGCATGCAGGTTTCTGTGCACACGTGAAATCTACTGGAAATAAAAACCTTTGGTATATACATAAAGATCTAAACCTTGGTCTGTAATATATAAGGAACCAGTCATTCCCCTTCCTGAATGTGGAAAAAGACACTGAAGAGTCTGACACTGAATTGACTAAAGATGAGGAATAATTTTGTGGAAGAGCTGAGCCAGCAGTTCTGCCTGGACAACCTGACCACCCTCTCTGATTTAGTGGAAAATGTCTCACAGAATTCCCGATGGGGAGGACCATTAGCTGGAAAGGTACACACCAGGTGAGTACAAACAAGGGTTAAATAGGTGCTACTGAACATTTTTTTAAAAAGTAAAATGTTAATTTTTGAAACTGAAACGTATAACTTCACAGTATTTCTGCATCTCTCTGCAATTCCCAGGTTCAGTTGGGCCATGTAATTGAAATGCTGCAGCAAACCAAGAAAGGCTGCTTTCTCACGTTATTTTTGACCAGCTGCAATCACAGAGAACCTGAGATCTCAGATGAAAAGCCGTGCTTTAGAGATTTCAAGCCAAAACTTTAAATAAGCATCTAAACTTTCAGATACTTATCGATGTGAATCCCTGCGGCACTGTGAGATTTGCTTTCCACTGGCATGAACAGCCTCAAAGCTGGACTGAGTATTAAAATTTGACAGCCGATTTTATATGTCTAGAATACCTCTATACATCATTAAACAAACATTAATCATTCAAATGCAAGCTTTGTATGTGTTATTTGCTTACTAGGGAGCATATCAAACTGGAACAGAATAAAACCAGAAGCAATGAATGTACTTAGAGTAAGTTCAGTAGAGTGAATCCAGCCCATAAATTTGATGGAATAATTCAGTACACTAAACGCCAAAAAGTTCAGGTTATGGACAGTTTATGTTAAATAAACTAATAAGATGCTTTCAAAATGGAAACAGTGTATTTCTGTTTTACTGCAAATATACCAGCATTTCTGATTCTGGAACACAAAAGTTGGCTCCAGTGACTTACGAATTAAAATTCAAACAAAGAGATTGTTGAGGCTTTATTCACATCATAACAGGTATCCTTAGAGCAGGGGAAGCGTAAAGATGATGCGTGTGAGGCCTTATTCCTGGTGCATACACTTCTGGTCACAGAGTTAATAAAAGAACTTCAATTTATTTCCACAGTCATAGTTAAGATTACAAATTCCCTCTAAATGGGTTGAACATAGATTTGGGAAGATTTTTTTAACACTCGATTCTTCCATAGTCAAAGCCTCTCAGAGCATGAAGCTACAAAACCAAACTCCTTCCAATATTTCACATTGGAAATATATTGTCTGTTATAAATCCTTCTGCGGTGGGTCTGAACACCCCCCTCCCCAGGAGAGCTGGGTCCTGCCGCAGATTTCCAACACCGTGCTGCCACCTGGTGGGAATGTCCCCAAATCCCAGCTCCCCAAATCCATGACTTACCACTCCTGTCTTCACAATTCTGGTCCCCTCGAAAATTCGAGTGGTGTTAGCTGAGGGAGGAAGAAGAGCAGTGTGTCAGTGGGTTGGGAAGGGAGGCAGCAATACAACTGCTGAGCAATTGCTGAACATGCTGCTACAAAACACAGATGAAGGTCTCAGTTTGGAGCAAGAGCAACTCAGCTCGCTTGGCATTACTCACCTTACTTTGTACATGTGCCTAAAGACTTGTTTGACTTTAATTACTTAGGCCCAGTAATGCCAGTTTAAGTGCACTGTCAGAAAACACACTCTCTCCTTCAATCTCAAACTGGATGAAACATCCTGGCTCACACAGGAAGAGAGTAGCTGATGATAATAGTTTTTCCTGTCCTTATCATTATTTATGGCTATATATCTCAACTACATCCATAATCAAGCTCTGAATAATGTTTTGAAAGCTCAAATGGATTAATTTTCTAGGTTAGATCTTGGGTACAGATAGAGATTAGAACAGCAGATCCTTTTTGGAGACACGTGGAAGGAATCACATCATATACTCCCACTGCAGATGTGTGAATCACTTCCACTGCTTTGAACACTGGGCTAGAGTGCCCCAAAAACATCCAATAAAGCTGTCAATAATGACTTACTCCTAACTGTGATTAAACAGGTATCATGGTCAAATTCCAAAGAATTTTTCCATTCTGTCATCTGCTGAAAGAGGTCATAATCAGCAAAATACCAGTTTCTGACTTCTGCCTGTCACTTACAGTCAAATCCAAAATACTGTGTTGAGGTACTAAGAACAGAGAGCTACATATGAGACGTGGGTTGGATAGGACACTTCTTGTCTGACCCCTGCTGTCCCTGCAATGCTGATAACACTGTGGGCAGGGCACCACCACAGAAGTAAACTGTGTCCACAGATTGATATCCTTCAGATACTACATGCTAACAGAGTAGGATTACCTTACAGAAAAACGTTTTTATTATTTTGTTCCCTACACAGCATCAGATCCAAGTGACAGCTCCTTTCTTCATCTTAAAGATTTAAATTTTTAACTCTCTGCTTGTTTCATTCTTCCACTGCCCATTACAGGATTTACGTATCCATAAGCTGGAGTGGGAGGGAATGCTCTCAGTAGAGGCAAATTTTGCCCTACTTAATAAAAAACGTAGTAGTAAATTCCCAGGAAGGAGCAAAACTTCAGCACTTAAAAAAAGCTTTAAAAACTTCAAATTCTTCTACCAAATCTCAGCACTACCAGATTTCTCCAATAAACTTAAAAGGAAATTCATGACAAAGGACAGCTTAGCATCTAGTACTTTTGATTTCCTTTAAATATGTATGTTTTGGAAATCACTGAGGTTGTATGCATGGTAAAACCTGAATGTCTCCACGTGTGGTTGTCAAGGTAGGACTGATCTCCTTTCCTCTTTACATAAAACAGACACCGATCAGACCCACATTCTGCTATAGCTGTGCCTCTGATGTATAAGCAGTCTCTGACGAATTTGCTTGAAAAAACTAGTACCAAGAAAAGCTCTGAATTCTCCTAAAACCTGACAAACCCTGCCAGCAGAGAGGTGCAGAGAAACCCTCATCACTAGAAATGAGATTCAGATCAAGTCACTGGTCACAATCTGAAATTAGTATTGTCTACATGCACTCAAACATCTCCTGAAATCATTTCACACCATATTGCACTGTGAAAATATGAAACAAACAATTGTTTAATATAAAAATAGGTATGTGGTTTTGTTACCTTGAAAGAGCATAGTCTGGCTAAAGTCACTACGCATTTCATTTCGGCAAACTGCTTGAACTCTGAACAGATAAAGGATGTCAGGTGAGACATGGCTAATGATGGCCTTCTGTTTAAAAAAAATAGATATTATTCAGTTTTTTACCCCCACAGTACTGTCCACGATCAGTTTGAAATATATAAAGCATTGTGCTAACACAGGACATTTATGCCACGTAAGACAAACTGTACTTCTAAACAGAAATATTCACTGGTCCCCTGGAAGAGGGCAAGGCCCAAGGCCAAAGGGATGCACCCAGACTCTGCCCAAGAGAAAGAAATGAACATGTGCCACACCTATTCTGATGACAGTCTTCATGCCTGAAAGTTTCTGCTTTCCTCAGAAAAAACTAAAGTTCAAGTCATTCAACCTTACAGGAACTAAAATAAGATTTTTATAGGTGGAGATCCATGTCCCAAAATGTATGTCCAAAGATGGGATAACCCCAGAAAAGTCACTGTATGTTCAAACTAACTTTATTTTGCAACAAACTGGCTATGGCAATTTGATGCTGGTGTGATGATGGCTCAGCACCCTGGGTTGGGATATCCCTGCTTACTCCTAGACCTGAGAGACTGCTCTGATGCTTTCCAGAAACTCTTTTGTATTGCCTTAGTTCACAATCACATCAGTTCACACAGCAGTTGTGTGGGCCACTGGAAATACCTGTGATGTCTTTAGCTAAACACTGCCTAGCTCTGATTTAAGATGGGACAGCCCAGCTGTATCTTCCAGAAAACAAATTTGGACTTTCCTCTGAAAAAGGGTTTCCTTCTTCTCTTGCCCCTAAAATGGACTGAGCTGTCATTGCTTTCTTAACCTCCAAGCTCTGCAGAACAGCACAGAGTCTCAGTGTAATTTATTTCCAAACTATCACTCCACCACATCCCCTGCACTTTTAATTATTTCTTTTACATAAAACAAGATGCTTTCATGGTGCAAACCTCATTTTTGCTGATTAAGGCTTTCCTCCTTATACCTGATTAAAAAAAATCTCCCTTAAGAGTGTGAAATTATGGCAAGAGAGAGGTTACAATACATCATAACCTTGGGTGCCTTTCAATAGGTTCCTTTCTGATTTTGTGAGGCAGATCGTTCCCTAATGTGACCCAGATAACAATGTCTAGTGGGGAAATTGAAAATATAAATGGAAATGAAGTAAAAGAATCTTCATCTAAGGGAATAAGAGAAGTATTATTGTATAACTGATTGAATGGGCCCAGAGGACTGTGTATTTGAAAAAAAAATGGTAACAGTCATTAGGAATAACACTGTGCTGCTGCATTTTTCATGTGCATATACAATTACTGATTTCATTATTCTAGAGGCTTTCTTTGATTAACAATAAATGGAGGCCTTTCAAACCTGAATATGTCACTTTGATTTTATATGCAGAGAATGTTAAGGACCAGTACAATACTTGCTTCCACTTAGACAAGAATGACAAGCAGATGAAATCCTAAATGGAGGAGATAGAGCAGTGTTTCCATCTGTGCTGGAACTGTCTTGCTCTTCCCTCTTTTTCTCACACTGCCAGATGCAGGCAGTGCTTGTACAAGGCCACTCCACAATAATCTTCTAGCCCTGACTGTGCACTCCTGCCTCTGGCAGCCCTTACTTCCAGAAAACTGCTCCAGAGGCTGCAAGGGGCTGTTTACAGTGAAAAGCCTGAGCTCAGGAACAGATTTTGGGGGGGATTGGACTTTTAATGAGAAAATCTGTAATAGTCAGAGGCTGAACATTTCCTGAGCCAGCTGCTTCTCAGCAATAGTTTATGAAAAAGTGCCTGCAGATTTAGTCCTTTATGCACTCACATAAACTATAAATTCACACTCCAGTGTTTGGGGTAGCCTGTTTGGCAGCATTCAACTAATGCTGAACATTTAAGTAGCAGTTCATCACAAGTCAAACCCTAGCCTGTCTATAAGGCAACAACTGCTTTCCTCCTCTACCTCCTTCTACCACGAAAATAACAATGTAAGGATAGCTTGATACAAATGTCTGGGTTTGATGCTGTGCTTTTACCAGGTCCTTGTCACTGTCCTTAGTGAAAGTCTTCTCCTTTTCATCTTCATTTTTAGCCCAGCTATATGAGATCATATAGTTCATGATCGGAGGGTGGTAGATGGTTTCTGGTTGGTTCCAGGTTACCAGTAACGCCGTCCTGTTCACAGGCTGCACTTTCATGTTGACTGGAGGAGTGCTGCAAGCTGAAACACAGAAAGAAAAAAGATGAAACTCTCCTAAATAACCAAGAGAAAACAAACAGGAAGAACTGTGCCTCGCTCTAAAAGTCAGGTTTTTTTCTTTAATGCCCTTGCCTACAGTAACAGCTTAGAGTGCAATCCACTGAGACCAATGGGATTTAATACCACCTGCAGCTGCTTTCTGCTCTCCTGAGTAAAGTGAGTGAGAGAATCCATTCTCTGCAGGCAGTCTGCTTAGTTCTCGACTTATTTTCAGTCCTGACATCGTACATACACTTTGACTTTGTGACTTAAGAGCTCTACACCGGAACATTAAGAAGTCCAGTCGACCCGATCCACAGCTCCCCTCATCCACGCCCTCCTGCTGTAAGGGGTTAATACCCCAGAGTACTCTGCTGGCCCTGGAAAGAGTTGAAACCTCTTGAAATGTAACACTATTGGGTCAGTAAGTATTTTCTTCTTAACCTAGTACATTTTTACATATGACAGAAATTATTTTACACTCCTCTTCCTATGCATTTTCCTTCAGAGATGCTCACCCGTTTGCCAGTAGTGTATTGCTAGCACAGCAAAGATGGTTCTTGACGGCCTTGGGCCCCCAGCCAGCCTCCAAACTCTGCCTTCCTAACCCTGCCTGTAGCATGGAGGCACAAGTCATTTCTCACCCACACTCAAGTGAATGGAGACATCAACATAGGAACAGCTTAACCAGGGTTAAAAACACAGCCTCTGCTTGCAGCAGCACCAAACCCCAAACTTCTGCTGGGGAGACCAAGCCCAGGTGCAAACCCAACCCATCCACTCAAGGAGTGGGGTGTGTACAGCCCTCTCACAGCTGCTGAAACAAAAACACTTTTCAAGGTGTTGCCTTGGAAGGGGCTGGGTGGGGATGCACGACACTAGATGGCACTCACATGCTATGGGAAAAATACATCATCCCTTCCCAGCTATAAAGAGTTGAGATTTTTTTTTTCCCAAGCTTTAAAAATCATGTTTAAAATACCCAATTCAGGGCAGATTCTCACATTCTCTTTCCCAATATAAACTCTGAACCAAGAAAAATCACTTGCAATGATACCTAAGCACATGTGCCATGGCAAAGGAGACGATCTCTTCTGCCAGGGAAAGGCAAAGTGTCACCCAGCCCATCAGGCTGACACTGTTTGCAGAATTATTTTTCCCAATGCGACTTTTCCATTTAAAGCCAACACACTGAGCTTGTTTGCACTCTGCAGGTATGTGGCTGTGTGTATACTTGGCCATTATTCCACTTCTAAAGAGTCCTGGCAGCACTGAAGGGGAAAAATGTCTATTCCTGTGTCTGGACATGCAGGTTGGTCATGCAGCTCTGCTGTTACACTACTGAAAAAGCTACAGTTCTTAAATAAAAATGATTAAATGCTTTGAGCACCAATACTACCAGTACAATAGAAAAATATCTGTGAAATGCATTTGTGCACTTGTATAGCTCACATTTGTAGCCAACCTGAACAAGACAATGAAAATTGCAGAAATACTCTTTGGGAAGGAAAGATCTTTGAATGTTTACTCTTGCCATGAGGGGTGACAATCCTGCAGTTTTGCAGTAGATGCTTCTGCTCAACTGAGAAGGATGATCCAGCAAAGCAAACAAGCCCTACAGTACCTCAAACTGTTGAGAAAGCCTTTGTGAGTTTCTATTTACACAGAGTTGAAGGGATCAAAACCGCATTCTGCTGTCAATGCCACAAAGCCAGAAGCCAGACCATGGTCTGCTGCCTGCAGAAACCTTCCCTCTGGCTCCCTCCTGGTCTCTGCAGGGAGCCCACAGAGCCAGGGTGCTGCAGAGCATGGCGTGAAGGTGGCCAGGACATGGACAAGAGGGCACAGCTGAAAGCAGTGGCTGTCATCACTATTCACAGAGCTTCCCAATCCTTGGTATGCCTCCCCATGCTCACCTCTTTCCGCTGAGAGAGTCAGATCAATTCTCACTGACATCATTTTTATTGATAACTGCACCAATAAATCATAACTGCCCCCTTTGACGCCCTTTGTCATCACAGAATTACACTTCAAAATGCCAGGCCAGCCTTTATCGCTCCACCTAATCAAATCCCATCAGAGATGGGAGCCCAGGTGAAGGACTACCCAGACCTAAAACCCTTATCCAGTCTTTGTCCTCCAGGAGGACATGCAGAGATTTATATATTTAAAGTAATCATGCAACAAATTGTTTTAGAAATAATTCAAGCAGGTAACCTTCCCGAGAGACAGAGGGATCTGCCTTAATTGCAATAACCCTCTGAAGGATGGCTGGCCAGCTGATTTGCAGAGAAGCACCCCAAGCCACTCGAGGGAGAGGGGGCTGTCACGTGCCACTGGCTTTGATGCCATTTGGAATAGCTCATGCCAGTCAGAGAAGGGAAGTGGGCATTTCCCAAGGGTAAACAGGAGACTCAGAGGCTCAGAGAGACCCTCCCTGACCCTGCACCCTGATGCAAGAAGGTCATAAGCACTTCTAAGCACCTGAGTGACTCCAATGACTTCACTGAGGTCAAGCCTCATTCACAGCCAGCTAAAATGAGGCTGAATTTACAATATTGCTATTTCACAGTAAATAATACAAGATTTTTATTACTTAGTATGGCTTTGTTCAAATTACTCCAAGGCACTTGATGTAATTAAGTAATAACCAACCTTTTCTGTTCAGTCACATTTTTAACAGCTTATGAATTGGCCAAAATAGAATTTTTTTTTTTTTTTTTTTTTTTAATGAAACATACAGTTTTATTAATTTAACCAAACCTGCTTAGGACACAATGGAATAAAAAAACATTTGATCCAGTAATTCAATTTGATGATTTAATTAAAGTGATACATAGTAACATAGTGAACGTCTGAAAGGCAAGGAAAAAAGTGTAATGATTTGACCATCTATAAAACAACTGGCATTTCCCAGAGATCTAATTTTCCTTTCAATACTCTCTGTGCCTTGGATTTTTGAAAGATTAAAAGGATCACAGACTTCCTGCTTGCTTTTTTTTTTTTTTTAGATGCTAAAGGACCTCTACTGATTTTGCAAAATGTGCAGCTAAAGGACAGATAGAAATGGGGGAAGAGGCTGGGACAGGGAGGAGGAAGTTTAATCAGAACACACTAAAAAGAAACATAAAAAGATAAACACAAGCTTTTCTTTTAATTTCCTTTTTTTTTTTTTTTTAAATAAAACCAGGCTTAATAAGCGAAAAAGCCTGTGAATTCATGATTGCTTGAGAAAAAAAAAAAGAGAACCAAACTCAACAACCAGCATCATTTCACACTCAAATAGCATCTCAGCTAATTTTAGAAAAAATATTACTAATGCTTTCTTTTAAATTCACATCCTAAGTGATAACAAAATATTGTGGGGGATTTCAGGATATCTTTCTGTGGTGTACTGCAATCCTGAGCAGATACCTTAACTGGCTCTGCACTGGTCTATATCAGGACACCAAAGTCACTATATCCAGGACTAGCAGACCCCCAGGTCAAGACTTCTGGAAGCAGAAAACCCTGGCTGGGGCCACAGTGCCACATCTCGGAGGCACTGAACATGGGAATGCCACCTTGCAGGCAGAGGGACGTGCCCTGGACCTCTTGCAGTGGAAAAAACACCCTCACCCTTCCTGTCAGAGACGACCTGAAGGGGGAGAACCTGGAAAACAAGCTGGCTCCTGCCTTATGGAAAAGTCCTGCAGAGATGGGAGGGTTGGGCGGGTGCATCTGCAGGAAGCCCTCTGACCTGACAAAGGGCAGCCTCAGTGGCTCTTCCAGCTGCTGGCCATGTGTGGGGCTACTCAGGGCCTCAATACAGGCTTTTCTCTGCAGATCAGCCCACTGGGGAAGGCAGGAGGCAAGCCAGGACTTTGGCCAGACTCATCTTCCAGGGCTCACTCAAGCCTGGAGAAAACCTGTTTGCTCCTGGCAGACAAATGCAGGATGCTAATACAGCCCTAAGCACTGGGCAGGCCAGCCATACAGCAGAGAATTATTTTCTTCATGTTAAAAACATTCCAATGGGCTGGAACAAACAAAATTAATTTAACAACTCTGCATTCATCTCTCCCATAATTTGATTTGTATGTTGTATTTGGCTATGTAACCTCCACGAGGCTTTCCTAACTGAAGCCTGATAAAGCTTAATCCAAAAGCTCCTGGCAGCTCCATTCCAGAGAGTTGAAAGACAAAAAGGGGGCTTATTGTTCTGCAGAACTTAATTGCTGATATTAAGACACACCCAAGAACACAGAAAGGGCATGTAAGAGAATATTTCAGCTTTTTTTTGTTCGTATTATTCTTTAAAAGCAGCCTACATTCCTCTTGCAAAGAGAGAAATGCAAAATCAGCCAAACTTTCCAGGTTTCATCATGCTTTCTGCATATCCTACCTGTGGTTATGAAAAGAGCTATTTAGGGAAACTTTGGGAAAGTGCAAAAACTGTGTATTCGGTTATTGCTTATATACCTCCCCCCTGTAGAACAGGTGCCTCATATGATGAATCCAGTTGCACTGGGCTCAGCGGGATTTATAAAAACCTCTAAAAATGTTCTAAGTTAGCTCTTCCATGCATAAAAATGTCACCACTTTAAAGGCAGTTATTTCTAGCTGCGCTCTGCCCTCCTTTGGAAAATCCCACTCTCTCTCCCGCTGAATGTCTCAGCAGCGCAAAACTGCCGTTCCTCTCGTTGGTGCCGTGGGACACACGTTGTGTGATGAAGCCCTGACAACTTCTGGCACAGAAAAGCAACATGCCAGTGAAGTCCTGAATTGCTCATTGCGAGACGGACACGGATCTTCTAAGGCAATTCCTTAGTGGAGGGAAGAAACGCTCGGGGCTGCTCAGTGGTAGGGGAAAGACTGGGACAAGGGTCTTGTCTTGCTCTGGGAGGCAGCTCCTGGCCATAAGGTGAGTGAGGTCTCACTTCTCCTATTTCTCACCGATCTGGATGTGCATGGGATGAGTGGCAGGGGACAGTGTTTCTCTC